TTCAGCACCTTCGGGTGCAGGCCTTCGGGCCGAGAACCTTCGGGTTCGGTTCAGCACCTTCGAGTGCAGGCCTGCGGGCCGAGAACCTTCGGGGTTCAGCACTTCGGGCGCAAGCCGGCGGGCCGAGAACCTTCGGGTTCAGAGGGCGCAGGCCGGCGGGCCGTGAGAACATTCAAGCGCCTTCGGGCGCATCGGGTTATTCTCAGCACCTCCCGGCGCAGGCCTGCGGGCCGAGAACCGGGCGCAGGCCTGCGGGCCGAGAACCATCGGTTGAGCGGCACCACGTCAGGATGTGACACGCCGACGGATAATATGCGCGTCTTTGTCGTTGGGCTGATGCTGCAAAGCCACTTTGCCATTGAACTGAACGTTGACATAAATAATCTAATATTACTATTAATTTACAATTGTCAGACAAGATAGCTCCGCCTCTCGCAGGCATTTGGCCTTAATCAGTCCGAAGCCTGTTCTGAATCGGGTCTGGGAAGTTATGGCTACCTGGTGCCGTGATGAGTTTCGTCATCCACGCTCGGATGAGTTCCAGCGCGTTTCCATCTTTAAATACCAGCATCACAGGCGGGGACATCACTGAATAATTCGTCGGATTCAGATGGTACCTGCAGCAGATTGATTGAGCGCTGTCACTGTCACCTCAGGTCCGGTCGGCGACACGAGTGGCTATTTTTACACCACCAAGCGCCGCACTGGCAACACGCGAGCTGCACTGGTCACATTAGCTTTAAGCGTGTTTGAGACCGAGACATGATACCATGATCTGAAACGTCAATGACTTTCAATCCGATCCTGGGACATTTCAAGCTTTTAAATTAAGGTCACGAAGAGCGGTCGCGAAGCTGTGGCGTCTTGCGGAAGATGGTTTTACAACTCAAACGGCTTGTTCTTCGACAACTTTGCCTGCTGTGCCTTGGCTCAACAGCAAATCTGAAGTTGATGAACGACAGAACCGAATTTAAATAATTAATTGCCCGCCTCAGGTCCTGACCCCGGTGTCACCAGGCACAACCTTCTTTGGCGGAAGGACCGTGGTGCGCGGCCATTCACTGCTACTCGGCTTGGGCTTACGGTTTTGAAGTTTGTCGCCCCGGCGCTGGCAATGACATCCTGAGGTCTTTCAAACGGTGGAGAGGAGCATGCTCTATATGGGGCTGATGCTTTTTGATCCACTCGAATCTGAAGTGGTGTACCTGCGCTGTGACACGCGCGGGATGCTCGCCGAAGTTCGTGGAGCTCTGACTTCCCGACAGGCCCTGACAGCCGCGCCGCCCAGACGACCAGCGGCAGAGGATGAATGGATCATCCTGGGCGGAGCAGCTTCGGCTGATGAGGACGGTGACTACGTGACAGTGTAACCGTCTTATTTTAGCCACAAAACGTGGCACGGAATGATTGCCTGCGAAACGCAGGTCAATCCAGGAATCGAGAGGCGTAGAAAGTATGCGCATCACTCCTGTGCATCAGACAGGACATAATAAGGCAACTTTGTGCTCTGTCCCGCAGTTGTACACAGCCTAGGCTATCTGGGTACGACCTGGCTTTAAATAGCAATTTTAGCTGGATTCCTCATCGCTCGCACTTTTTTTCGATCCGGACGTCCGCGGCCATTTTTATTTTAAACTTATAGCTCGCATTACAGGGGGTCCGTCGAGCCATGGCAATGGAGAAATTAGCATTGGACAAGTTTGAGGGGGCTACTTTGCTCTCTAGTGAGACCACAACGGTAATTGTGGCCTGGGATGACGTGACTGATCGGTTAGATGACTCTGAAAATGGCCATGCCCTCCTGGCAGCGCTGGGTGTTTCTCAGGCTGAGATAGACACTGTGACCCGCATCCTGCGCAAGGTGCAGAACCGGGCTCATGACTACAAGAACGACCTGAAGGCTGAGCTTCAGACTGGTCGGCAATCGCCGGAACCGCGCAGTTTTGCCATAGATGTCATGTACCAGGAAGCTGAAGCTGCTCACCCAGGACCACGAGTATTTGAAAGCGCGTTGCTGCCGGGCGAAGCGCTGGGCTCGGTGCCAATGCCAGGCTGTCACTGACGTGAGTGACTGAGGCTCGACGAGGTGTTAAAAATTAGGGAGCGAGCGCTGATTTTTTGTCTATTTTGATTAATAATTATACCGGTGTCACATGAGCAATCGCAAGCTGGTGGTTTTCGAAGCCATTTTGGCACCAGTGGCAGTCGCACGCTGTCACTCTGTTTAATAAACAGAGGAGTGACATTTGTCAATCAGAGCCTGCGCAAGTGTCTAGTCCAATGGGTAAACCATCGCTTCTGCCGTTGAAACTGGTGGGCCAGCACGTCCGCTCCTGCCGGTCAAAGTCAGAGCGCTGTGGCCTGTGCCACTGGCACAAAAATAGGCCGGGATGGGTCCAGGGCTTATGTGACCCTAAGTGGGCCAAGGTTACCGTCCAGGGCGGAAAGTTTGCCAGAATTGGGTGCACTTACTGTTGCTTGGCAGAGACAGGTGGCCCGTGGGCTGAGTTCTCCCAGAAACCATTGACTTTGAGGAAATTCCAATTCAATAGACATGAAGCGTCCGCTGTGCATAAGAAGGCGGCTGAAGCGTTTCAATGCTCAGAGAGAATTGTTTTCGCCCCAGCGGCCAGTGAGTTCAACGACGCCTTGAAGAAAATGGTGAAAGGCGGAAGTTGCAGGGACGGAGGCTGCATGTCCGACAAACGGACGCAGATGCGGTGGTGCCTGTCAGAGGCAACGCTGTCACTGAGCCGTGACAGGCTGCAAAGTGCCGAGGCAATGTCAGTTATGAGGGATGAAAGAAAAGGCAGGCTCCTCCTCAGGTACCGAGCGACGCTGCCAGATCTGTCCATTCACAGTGGTGTGTTTGGATTCATCCCGACTCAGGGGTTTGCTGACTCGATTGGCGAAGCAACTCGGAAATCGATCACTGATTTCTGCACCCCCAAGCTTAACCCACCCAGGCAATTCAAGCAAACCACCTGCCCAGTTGACCAAAAATTGCTCCGAAGTGTTCAGGAGAAAACCCAGATTTTGGTCACTGATGCGGCAGGTCCTGAGTTGCTAGCTTCCCGCATTTTGAGCGGGAAGAGACAAGCGGCAAGCGCCGGCTTTCAGGATCCCTTCTTTAAACGGGTCCGAGTGATTGGACGAGACGCGGCGCATGCGTCCACTCGTTTGTTGAAGCGGCCATTCGAGGCACATCCTGAGATTGAGAAGTTGCTGAACGAATTTGTGACCGGGAAGGACAGTTTCGCGCAAAAGGTGCAATATTCCCCGTTGTATCAGCAATGGTGGAAGAAAAGCCTGGTTGATGAGGCTGGAGGGAGCGATCTGTCCGCGGCAAAGCACAGGTTTGCCAGCTATATGAACCCGCTGGCCAAAATCAGCAAAAACATGGGCGCCATGATGCAAGTGTGCCATCAGATCGCCACCGTCAGATCTGATGACTCCAGTGGGAGTGCATGGGCGCACCGACTGATTGAAAATTTCTCGGGGAAGAAAGCAGTTGCCCTGGGACTGCTCGCCGACGCTGCTTGTACCTGCCATGACCTGACCCGGTGGCTCGACTCTGAAGACGTTGATATATGCCAGGTGAACAGCCAGGTGCAATGCTTTGTAGCATCACTTCGGACCCTGTTTGGAGCCAAGAAGGTGTTGGAGCTGCCAACATACACAAAGCACATCGTGGAAGAGCTTACGCGTCGCCCCATCACCATTCTGCACGGCAGTCCTAGACAAGTTAGAATCTCTCAGACAGATATTGCAGAGGGCATGAAAATCTTGCAAGAGCCTTACCAGAGATTATAAAAACTGATTGTCGTCGTCATACGGTTACCACATAATATTCTTTTAAATATTTTAAATCGTCGTCAGCTGAGGAATGGGCTGTCGTATCAGAGGCCGCTGTGGCCACTGAATTCCCAAGCTGGGATGTCATCGCCAGCTTTGATGCGTTTTGTCTGCAGGGCGCAGGTGAGTCTGCGCAAGACCGACCGGAAGCCAAGACCAGCCTGGCTAAACTTGCCCAAGTGTTCCAAGTGGACTTAGGAAAATTGACACGACAATTTATTGCCTTCTTACCCATGGCCAGCGCCATTCAAAAGCAAGCTGGTCTGGACAACCGCGCAGCTTGGTCAGAAGCTTTGATTCGATCTCAAGGACGCAAGTTGATGCGAGACAAGTAAGTGCTGTGTGGAAGGCTGCAGGCAAGGGTAGCTGGGTGGCAAAGTCGATAAGCTCAACCTCACAGCCAAAAACATCAATATCAGACACGGTTGGTAGGAAGCAAAGTATATCGTCTTCCAGTTGCATCATGTCTTCATAGTGAGTGATGTTAGTTTGCATAGTATATTCCGTTCCTGCCATCGTCACAAGATCGATGCAGACTTCATATTGGTCTTGCTCCGTCGGCATCTTCTCTGCAGGCGGCAGTTCTAGCTTGTATACTTGACTGCTGTGAGCCAGAAATTGCGGCAGCAAGCAGATGGTGATTGCAAACATTGCTGGAAGTAACAGAAAAAAAGATGGCTAAGGCCACCCCTTTCAGGAGGAAAATCACCCTGTGCAGGAGCTGCAGTTGCGGATTTGGGCAGCTACCTTAGGTCCCTCACTGCCACCACCAGTGCGGGGGGTGCGGTAGGGGAGGCTGACTGCGATTGGGCGGGTGAGCAGCCGACGAGGAGCTGCTACTTTCGGGGGGGAGGAATCGTGCGCCGGGATTTATTGCGCGCCCCTGAGTCGTCTCGTCCCGCTCCCTGTTGTCTTCGAAGCTCCTGTTTATAGCGTGCCAGGTTCTTTCGGAGCCCAGACAACCATGTGAGAAGTTCGTCCCAGCGGTCCTGTGTGTAAACTATCGGACCATACTGGTGGTATGGGCGATCTTCTTCTTGTACTTGAGGGTAGCCTTGGGAGTAGTAGCGTTTGAGTAGCTCCCCCGGGAGCCTGGTCAGTCCATATCGGGGAGAGAGCACCCTACTCTGGCCATGGCCACCTTTAGTCCAGAGGTCAACCAGTAAGCAACGGCAGTGCTTTCTGTCTGGATACTGCCCTGCTCAAAGTTGCCTAGCGCTGTGGCTAGCCGAGTGTAACGGATGACAAACCGTCCAAACCCTCGTGCAAAGGCGTAAGTAGGTTCCGCGACTGTGTCTTCTTCTTCAGTTGCTACTTCTGCTTCGACTTCCGGCAGGTCGACGCCTCCCACTGGCACTGGTTGTGCATATCTGGGCGACCGTTCTCTTGACCTACTGGCAGGCGAGTCTGTATCCGACTCTTCCACCTGGGAGTCTGGTGAGAGGTGTTTGCCCTCTGCAACATTTCGCCATAGCGGGACTTCAATGCGCAACTTCAATTGCAGAAGGGATGGGAAGGACATAGCTTGTCCCAGCGACGGGTCAATGGCCCCACAGGTATATGCCCTCGCCGCCCAAGACGTATCCGGCATGCGGGGGTAGCGGTCATATGTGATTTCCTTGTTATACACCCCTACCACCAGGAGGGGATTATCTTCCTCCCCTTGCTTGCGGGGTCGGTAGCCGCAGCCACCCTTCACTTCCACCGACGCAAAGCGTTGCTGCTCCATGGCTGTGACGAGGGCTGGAACCAGCTGCATTGGAAAATAGACAAAGAGATCATTGATGGGCAGCGTTTGTTCTCCAT